GGGGGGGGGGGGGGGACAAAAACAAAACCGGGGCATTGGAGGAAGCCGCCTTCTCATCAGCCTCCTTTGATGTCTTTGCTAAAACCCCAGCTACAGAGAGATCTAACTGCAAATGAACGAATTAAGTAAACCTCTGACAGAGCGTGAAAACAATTTGTTTGACCTTGATGCTGCAAGGGTCTGGGAGACAGTGGAGTTAATCAGTCAGTGACAGAGCCTGGCACGGCTATGGCAGCTGGCTGCCTGCTGCCAGCCGCCTGTCCGCCAGGCCCGAAGGCCGTGCCTAGGCCGTTGCTCTCCGGGGCTGGGGCTGGGGCTGGGGGAAGCCGGGGAGGGCGGTGGGGGGAGTCTCCTTCTCCTCACACCAGCAACCTGCTGGGCTCGGCGGCCTGGGGTCGGGGTGGGGAGGCTGCTGGCCCAGGAAATATAGACCGCAGACGGGGTAGGAGTGACCGGGGAGTTGATGGGGGGCAGAGAAGGAACGAGGCCCACCCTGGGGTGAGGATGGCAGGACAGCTGGTGGCTGAAGGCGCAAGAAGTGACAAGCTAGGTGGCAGCCTGGGGGATGAGGGGTCCTGTTAGGGGAGGCAGGCTGGGGGGCAAAGGAGAGTGGGGCTGACACCTACTTGATAAACTGGCCCAGGTCTTCACACAGGGTCTCACAGCCTGGCCACTTGCACTCTCCGTGTCCGTAGAGGGGGTGGGAGCCGGGCGTCTCCTCGTGGGAGGAGCTGGGAGGGCAGAAGGAGATGGTGGTCAGGGACCCTGAAGACCCCGGCAGCCCTGGGTCCCGCCCAGACCCAGCTCCCCTACTGATGACGTTTCTGTCCCTAATACAGGTGCCCCAGAGGCCAGGCACAGTTGTGTGTGCCCCGGGAGAGGCAAACCTGCTGGTCCCTGAGCTCCACAACCCCACCCCAGCCTCTACCACAGATGCCAGCCCTCAGGGTCAAGGCCAGTCCCCGGGCAGGTCTGCAGCACCTCCTCCCAGACGGAGCCCCATACCTGTCTCTCCGAGGTGTGAGCACAGTGGGCTGTCCGTTGGGCAGGGTGTGGTGGGAGAGAGGGGGTGAGACTTTGGGGGGGGCGGCGAACGAGGTAGCGGTGGTGGCCGTGCCGGTGAGGTCCAGCCCCTCCTGCTTGACGCTGTCCTCGGCGGGCTGCCCGGGGGCACCCTCACCCTTCCACAGCTGGGGCAGGTCCGTCGGGCACACGGCTGCGATGGGAGGGAGAGAGAGGGGAGGCTGGCCGGGCCCCAGGAACGCATGGGGCCCCCACCTCACTCCCGGGAGCAGGGGCTGCCAGCCCGTGGGGACAGCAAGGGCGTGGGGCTGGGGCTGGCTGAGGGGTGGGCACTCACCTTGTGGGAGGGTCTGGAGGGGCCCCGAGGCTTGGCTGGGCTGCAGGCTGACCAGCCCCTGTCTCTGCAGGTTGAGCAGGTGCTGCTGCTGCAGCTGTTGCATTTGCAGGAGCTGTTGCTGGAAGGCCAGCTGCTTGTTCCCCAGGGCCTGGTGGGGGGCCCGAGGGGGCGGGCAGAGAGGGGTGCCATCAGCCTCAGGCGTGCCATCCGGCCCCCACCCTGCGGCCACCCCCTCCCAGGGCCTGTCGGCCCCCGGAGCTGTCGTTGTGGTGTCCGCAGCTGCAGTCTCCCTGCTCCCGGCCCAGCTTCCATAGGGCTGCATGCCTCCTCGCAGGAAACACACACGCGCACACAAACACACACACACACACACACGGGGGGGGGGGGGGGGGGGGGGGGGGGGGGGGGGGGGACAAAAACAAAACCGGGGCATTGGAGGAAGCCGCCTTCTCATCAGCCTCCTTTGATGTCTTTGCTAAAACCCCAGCTACAGAGAGATCTAACTGCAAATGAACGAATTAAGTAAACCTCTGACAGAGCGTGAAAACAATTTGTTTGACCTTGATGCTGCAAGGGTCTGGGAGACAGTGGAGTTAATCAGTCAGTGACAGAGCCTGGCACGGCTATGGCAGCTGGCTGCCTGCTGCCAGCCGCCTGTCCGCCAGGCCCGAAGGCCGTGCCTAGGCCGTTGCTCTCCGGGGCTGGGGCTGGGGCTGGGGGAAGCCGGGGAGGGCGGTGGGGGGAGTCTCCTTCTCCTCACACCAGCAACCTGCTGGGCTCGGCGGCCTGGGGTCGGGGTGGGGAGGCTGCTGGCCCAGGAAATATAGACCGCAGACGGGGTAGGAGTGACCGGGGAGTTGATGGGGGGCAGAGAAGGAACGAGGCCCACCCTGGGGTGAGGATGGCAGGACAGCTGGTGGCTGAAGGCGCAAGAAGTGACAAGCTAGGTGGCAGCCTGGGGGATGAGGGGTCCTGTTAGGGGAGGCAGGCTGGGGGGCAAAGGAGAGTGGGGCTGACACCTACTTGATAAACTGGCCCAGGTCTTCACACAGGGTCTCACAGCCTGGCCACTTGCACTCTCCGTGTCCGTAGAGGGGGTGGGAGCCGGGCGTCTCCTCGTGGGAGGAGCTGGGAGGGCAGAAGGAGATGGTGGTCAGGGACCCTGAAGACCCCGGCAGCCCTGGGTCCCGCCCAGACCCAGCTCCCCTACTGATGACGTTTCTGTCCCTAATACAGGTGCCCCAGAGGCCAGGCACAGTTGTGTGTGCCCCGGGAGAGGCAAACCTGCTGGTCCCTGAGCTCCACAACCCCACCCCAGCCTCTACCACAGATGCCAGCCCTCAGGGTCAAGGCCAGTCCCCGGGCAGGTCTGCAGCACCTCCTCCCAGACGGAGCCCCATACCTGTCTCTCCGAGGTGTGAGCACAGTGGGCTGTCCGTTGGGCAGGGTGTGGTGGGAGAGAGGGGGTGAGACTTTGGGGGGGGCGGCGAACGAGGTAGCGGTGGTGGCCGTGCCGGTGAGGTCCAGCCCCTCCTGCTTGACGCTGTCCTCGGCGGGCTGCCCGGGGGCACCCTCACCCTTCCACAGCTGGGGCAGGTCCGTCGGGCACACGGCTGCGATGGGAGGGAGAGAGAGGGGAGGCTGGCCGGGCCCCAGGAACGCATGGGGCCCCCACCTCACTCCCGGGAGCAGGGGCTGCCAGCCCGTGGGGACAGCAAGGGCGTGGGGCTGGGGCTGGCTGAGGGGTGGGCACTCACCTTGTGGGAGGGTCTGGAGGGGCCCCGAGGCTTGGCTGGGCTGCAGGCTGACCAGCCCCTGTCTCTGCAGGTTGAGCAGGTGCTGCTGCTGCAGCTGTTGCATTTGCAGGAGCTGTTGCTGGAAGGCCAGCTGCTTGTTCCCCAGGGCCTGGTGGGGGGCCCGAGGGGGCGGGCAGAGAGGGGTGCCATCAGCCTCAGGCGTGCCATCCGGCCCCCACCCTGCGGCCACCCCCTCCCAGGGCCTGTCGGCCCCCGGAGCTGTCGTTGTGGTGTCCGCAGCTGCAGTCTCCCTGCTCCCGGCCCAGCTTCCATAGGGCTGCATGCCTCCTCGCAGGAAACACACACGCGCACACAAACACACACACACACACACACGCACGCACGCACGCACGCGCGCGCGCGCGCAGACACACGGCCAGACCCAGACACGCAGCACGACGCCCTCCCCGCTCCCGCCTCCCTCCTTCCGCTGCTTCGGCTCCCGCACCACAGCTGTGCTCGCCTGGGGGGCGCGGGGGGCTCTCATCACAATGATGGATGAGCCTGTCAGACTCCAGGGGCCACTCCCGCCTGGCGGGCACCCTTCCCACATGCCCGGGGTGCCCCCCTTCCGCTCTGAGGAGGGGGCCTTCTCCCCTCCAGCTCCTCTCCTCTCTTGCTTCTTAGATACAGAGAATCAACGCGTCTGATCGGACTTTAAAAGATCAGCATCGACAGGTCATCAGGACCCCGGCTAGGGAACAGTCACATCACTGCTGCCCAGGTACCCGCCACCTGCCCGCACTTGCTCTGCTCTTAGTGGCTCCCTCTCTCCTGCTCTGGCCCCGCTCCCCCCGCCCCCCCGCACCAGATTCAGTAATTCACACAAGCACTGACAGTCAGTCTGTCAGCAAGCCTTTTCTGAGCCCCAGGAGCCGAGCACGTCCCGGGCTCTGGAGGCAGGGATGGCTCAGCCCACCTGCCCTGGAGGTGGGGTGGTGGGCTGGCTATTCAGCCTAGAGACAACACAGAGAAGGAAGCAAAGAGGAGACCTTTGAGGGGGAGGCTGAGGGCGGGAGGGAATGACTGGGTGTCAGCAGGGCAGCCTCCTGAGAAGAGGCAACTCGAACTTGGCTGTGGTTTGGCCAGCAGGAGGGAAGTGCGTGTCTGGGACATGGGGTGGGGGCCACTGCAGGGCCTGGTATGGAAGCTCAGAAGGCACTGTGGCCCAGATGGGGCAGGGGGTGCAGGCTGGGGAGTTCTCTGGAGATGCAGGGCAGGATGTTACAAGAAGCAACAGAAGTTGGGGCAGGGCTGAGGGGAGGGACTGAAAGATTTTCAGAACCAGGCTTGAGCGCTGAGGTGCCGGGTCACTAACAGACAAGCAGGCAGGAAGAGGGCATGACCACGAGGCAGCCGGTCATGAGTGCGGACTCACATACCCGTCTACGCGTATGTGCTCAGATAACACAGGGCTCAGCCCTTCTGCTCTCCTAATCCAACAACACAAGGCGAGGAGAGGAGGACTGAATGGGGTTGAGGGGAGGTGGTGGAATGTGGGCCTCCATCCCCCCATCCCATCCCCCAGCCTTTCCTGGTTTTTCTACGATCCCCACAAGACCATTCTGTCCTGACCACTTGGGGACTCCCAGCCCCTGGCTAGGCGAGGGCTGGCGCTGCAGGCGAGCGGCGGCGGGCGTCCTTTGAGGGGCACAGTCGGCCCTGCCCGAGCCCCTTACCTCTTTGGGCTGCTGCTTCCCAGCCTGCTGCTGCGTGAGGAGTTGTAAGTGGAGCTGCTCTTGCTGCTTCTTGTAATATTCCTGCAGCTGGGGGTCGACAGCAGGGTGGGAGTGGGTTAGCACAGGCGGGGGGCTGCTGACCCCAAAGCAACGGCCAACCCCCTCGTGACTGGGCTGCCGTGAAACAGATGGTCCAGCAGGGAGATGTCTGCTCGGAGAGAGGCTCTCCCAGAGCAGAGCCTCGACGGAGAGGGAACAGAGAGGGGAGAGGGGAGCCTCCCCGCACAGCGCCGAGCCCGGCCCCTCCCTTGGTGGGTGAGGATGAAGTGCCAGCATGTTCTCTGTCTTTCCCTGGGGTTTGGAGATACGGGTGGGGCGCTGTGAGACCGTATTGGGGTGTGTGGGAGTCTGCTGTGGGAGAGGCCTGACCTCTGACCCCTCGCCAGCTGTCCTGGAGGAATGTAGGTCAGTCCAGCCGGAGCGGTCTCTCTGGTTTCTGCCACTGCTTTGGCCTTTGGTGATGTTGGTAGTAAACAGGGTGGGAGTGGGGAGGCCAGTGCCTGGAACACCTCACCCTCCTCTCCCTGACCTTCCGGGCGGCCCCGGGGCCAGACTCACCTGCTGCAGCATGAGCGCCTGCTGCTGCTGGAGCAAGGCCTGCAGCTGTGGGGGCGACAGGATCTGCTGCATCTGCTGGGGGGTGAGCATCTGCGGCGACATCATGGCCACTGACACGGGCACCTGTGAGATTCGGCCCCATCAGCCCCTCACCTCTGCCCCACCCCGGGGTGGGTCCGCGCCCAAGCCCCTGCCCACAGCAGGGCAGAGCAGCTCCGCAGTGAGCTGCCTGGGCTCACATTCTGGCTCTGCCACCTGCTGCTAGCTGTGCGTCTCTGGACAACTGACTCACCTCCCTTGTTCTTGGTTTTCTTGTCTCTGAAATGGCAGTAGCGATACTGCCTGCCTCCTAAGGTCATCATGAGGGCTAATGAGTTAGTACTTAGAACAGAGCCTGCAGGCGGTTGGACATTATTGCAGGATGTGCTATCTTTCGTGCACGAAGATTAGACCCCAGCGACACTGGTTAGTAGAATCCATGCTTTGCAGGGTTTCTCCCCCAGTGACGGCGAGGGGCAGCACCTAGCCACTGCTGACTCCAGCTCAGTCTGTTCTGAGAACACGACCCACAAGGTGAGCCTGGCCAGGAGGGCAGCCTGCAGCCATGGATGGGAAGGTTTCAAACTGTAGCCCACAGGCATGAGGACCTGGACTTTGGCCCCTCTCACATGCGTGTCACGTACTCCAGCACACCTGTCTAGACGGCACACACAGTGACCGGGAGCTGATGCCCAGGGAGCACCGTGAGGGCCACCCTGCGTGAGTGTGTACGTGTAATCACCTAACTAGGTCCCAGTGGGGTGGAAAGAACGCCATGCAGAGACACGGGGAGAGGCAGGCTGCTCCTCCTCACTCTGCAATCAGCTTGCCAAGTGACCTCCAGCCATTCACTGGCTGTCTCTGGGGTGTCAGTTTCCTCCACCATAAAACAGAGATGCCTCCTTCCAGCTGGAACTTGCAGGATTCTCATAGTAGGGCAGCTTTCTGCCCCCTGCCCTGGGTGAGGCCTCTACAGGAGGCCCAGAGAATCTAGCTACAGGCAAAAGGTTCAGGGAAAGGCAGTATCATCCTTTTCCCCATTCCCACCTCCCCTGAAATCCCTATAGCCTGTGCAGTCATAGCCTGGGTAGTCCAAGCTGCAGCACTGTCTTGATGCCCTGTTTTAGCAGGACAGGTGTCCTGACAGGGCAATCGGCCACCCCCATCGCTCTTCAAGCTCCGTGTGCACAAGTCTCTCATCTCCCGTCTCACTCCCCAGCCCTAGCAGAGCTGGCACATGGCAGGCACTCACTAAGTGTGTGCTCCCCCCCACCCCCAGTTGAGTTACCTTCCTGGCAGATCAACCTTGGGGCAGGGAGGGAGGGGTGCTGGTGGGCCAGGCCAGGGGGAGTGTCTTGCAGAGACTTGTCCTGGTCAGGACAGCGCAGGTTATGTCCCCAGTGGATTCCTGGGCCCTTTCACCTTCCCCCAGCCCCACAGGCGGGGCAGAAGAGGAGGAGTTGGTTCCATTCAGGATCCCTGGCAGGGGCAAGGCTCAGCCTCAAGCCACCAGTGAGGGCACCCCCAGGCAGAGGAGCAACGGGGGGAAGTGCAGTGGCTCCAGGGACATCGGTAAGTCTCACTGCCCCCACCTCTTCTTGCCCCCCCTTCACTAGTGGCTGAGCCCCAGCCCTGGGCTCCCCTCCTTTACTGCAGCCATCTCTGTGCAAATATCCCTGGAAGGGGCACCTAGCTTTTTAGCCACAGCCACACCGTGTGAATGAAGGCTCTGAGGGGCCTCTAACGATGAGCCTTAAGCGGGAGGGTTGGGACTCATGCCCAGCCAGGTCTGTGTGCTCTGCAGTTCCCGCTGTTCCCACATCCCGCACCACCTGCTCCCCCGCCGCCCAGAGCAGGTCTCGAGAAGGGTTAGGAGAGTGTGTGGAAATGGAACCATCCAAGGAGCTCAAGGGTTCGATGAGGCTAGAGATCCCAAAGGCCAACCTCTCTCTTTACAACTGTCTCCTGGGGAGGCTCGGGAAAGCCAGGCTGCAGGGCTGTTCTGGTCCCCACTCTCGGAGGGGCAGGCCATGGCACACATCCAGCCCCCCCTTGCAGAGCCAGCCTGTATGCTTTGCTGGGTGCCCCCGAGGCAGCTGCATACCTGTCCTTTGACATGGGGGCCCCCAACATGGTGGAGCTCAGAGCCCTGGATTTCTGAGTCAGATGACCCAGGTTCTCGTCCCTGACATTGACTAGCCTTTGAAATCGCCAAGCCTCACTTTCTGCATCTGCTAACTGGGCTTTGGCACAGCTGCCCTCCCTGCTTCACAAGACTACTCAAGATGATGTTGGTGGCGGTTGTTGATTACATGCCAGGCGTGCCAGGTGCTTGGCTAAGCCCTTTATGTGTATTATCTCCCTGAATCCTCACAGCAGCCCTGGGAGGAGGGGACCATCATCATCACCATTTTAGAGGTGAGAAAACCGAGACCTGGAGGGACAGTGGGGGAAGAAGTAAGTGAAAGTGATTTGTATGGCCATGAAATTCTACACAAATGAGAAAATTACCTCACTAAGTGTGTGCTCCCCCCCACCCCCAGTTGAGTTACCTTCCTGGCAGATCAACCTTGGGGCAGGGAGGGAGGGGTGCTGGTGGGCCAGGCCAGGGGGAGTGTCTTGCAGAGACTTGTCCTGGTCAGGACAGCGCAGGTTATGTCCCCAGTGGATTCCTGGGCCCTTTCACCTTCCCCCAGCCCCACAGGCGGGGCAGAAGAGGAGGAGTTGGTTCCATTCAGGATCCCTGGCAGGGGCAAGGCTCAGCCTCAAGCCACCAGTGAGGGCACCCCCAGGCAGAGGAGCAACGGGGGGAAGTGCAGTGGCTCCAGGGACATCGGTAAGTCTCACTGCCCCCACCTCTTCTTGCCCCCCCTTCACTAGTGGCTGAGCCCCAGCCCTGGGCTCCCCTCCTTTACTGCAGCCATCTCTGTGCAAATATCCCTGGAAGGGGCACCTAGCTTTTTAGCCACAGCCACACCGTGTGAATGAAGGCTCTGAGGGGCCTCTAACGATGAGCCTTAAGCGGGAGGGTTGGGACTCATGCCCAGCCAGGTCTGTGTGCTCTGCAGTTCCCGCTGTTCCCACATCCCGCACCACCTGCTCCCCCGCCGCCCAGAGCAGGTCTCGAGAAGGGTTAGGAGAGTGTGTGGAAATGGAACCATCCAAGGAGCTCAAGGGTTCGATGAGGCTAGAGATCCCAAAGGCCAACCTCTCTCTTTACAACTGTCTCCTGGGGAGGCTCGGGAAAGCCAGGCTGCAGGGCTGTTCTGGTCCCCACTCTCGGAGGGGCAGGCCATGGCACACATCCAGCCCCCCCTTGCAGAGCCAGCCTGTATGCTTTGCTGGGTGCCCCCGAGGCAGCTGCATACCTGTCCTTTGACATGGGGGCCCCCAACATGGTGGAGCTCAGAGCCCTGGATTTCTGAGTCAGATGACCCAGGTTCTCGTCCCTGACATTGACTAGCCTTTGAAATCGCCAAGCCTCACTTTCTGCATCTGCTAACTGGGCTTTGGCACAGCTGCCCTCCCTGCTTCACAAGACTACTCAAGATGATGTTGGTGGCGGTTGTTGATTACATGCCAGGCGTGCCAGGTGCTTGGCTAAGCCCTTTATGTGTATTATCTCCCTGAATCCTCACAGCAGCCCTGGGAGGAGGGGACCATCATCATCACCATTTTAGAGGTGAGAAAACCGAGACCTGGAGGGACAGTGGGGGAAGAAGTAAGTGAAAGTGATTTGTATGGCCATGAAATTCTACACAAATGTAAAGAAAATTACTTTTTAAAACATTCTGGATTTTCCTTTTCTCTTCTTTCCCCCCCCCCCCCTCCTCCACGAGTGCACCTTAGGCGCGCCAGGGCCCCAACGTTCCGGCCCCAGGGCCATTACGTGGCAAGGGTCACTTTGGGCAGAAGCTCTGGGCCTCCTATGCTCATGGCTGTGAGAACTGAACTAGAGGAGATGGACAGGGCCCCCAGCCGAGGAGACTGAGCCTAGACACCCAGGAGGTCTTTCCAGGCACCAGGGGTGTGAGTCACTGTGAGTGGCCTGCAGGAAAGGATGTGGTATTTCCTTCCTTGGGGCTTTCCTACTTGGAGGCAGGGGAATGGAAGAGATGACCTTGGAAGGCCTCCCCGGCCCCTGCTGTTCCTGCCAGTTGGCTGAGCCGCAGGCTGGAGAGGCGGCTGCAGTAATCTGGATGGATTACCTTGTGTGTACTTGTCTTGAAGGTGGCCCAGGAGGGTTAAGAAAGGTCAGTGAGGTGGCAGCTGCCTGCTATCTCCTGAGCTGGCTGAGCCCATCTCTTCCCCTCACATCCCTTGGGGGTTCTGAGGAGTGAGCTGGAGCTCCCCTGGTGTCTCCACTGACCCCTCACCAGGCTGGGATGTGTCAGGATGGGCACCGTCAGCTAGTCAGCCCAGTGAGGCCCGTGAGTCACCATCTGGAGGGCGGCCAGGGCAGCTAAATGCTTACAAAAGCCCTGGCGGTGTGAGCCCCGGGCAAAATGCCGACAGCTGCCTCCAGCCCCTCCCTCGGGGACCCTGCTCAGGCCTGGAGCCCTCCAACCACCATGTAAATCAGCGTGGGGCAGACACTAGGTGATTTACAAAATCATCTCATTTTATCCTCACCATCCTAGGGGATAGATGCTGTTATTAGCCCCATTTTGCAGATGAGGCAACTCAGGCCCAGAAAGGTTAAGAAACTTGTCCAGAGTCACAGCTGACAAGGGGCAGAGCCAGGATTTTAACCCAAACAACCAGCTCCAGAACTCACTTTCCTGCATACACTGTGATGCTGCCGCGTGCTTAGCATAGTAGGGAACTGCAGTCCCCAGTACAGAGCCCTGGCCCGATGGTTCTCTGGGCTTGGGGAGACAGGGGTTCTTGGGGCCATGTCTGAACTTCTCCAGGAGCCTGGAGCCCCAACCCTGGATACCGTCCTTGCCTCTCATCCCCACCCTCAGGTTCATAATCTCCAAGGAAGTGGGGCTTCTGACCCCGTGTGGGGTCCAGGGCCTAGAAATAGCTTTTCTAAGAACTCAAGGCTGGTGGTGGGAGAGGGGGGAGAAGCATATTTTGTTGATCTGGAGCCTGAATCAAGTGGGTAATGCAGATCCATGGCAGCCTCTTTCCCAGTGGTCCCCAACTCAAGGCAGGATTGCCTGCCCACTCACCTCCCAGCCATGTTCACCACCCCTCTCTTAGAGCCAGCTTCAGAAGAGTTTCTAAAACCACATTAGGTCTCCACCTCCAGCCTGGAGATTGCCTGGTTTGTCCCTGCACCTGGGCCCCAGGCAGGGAGAGCTCAGTCACAGAAGGCAGCACAGGTATCTGGGAGTTTGGGCAGAAGGTTGGCTAGGACAGGCCCCTTAGCTGTGCCCAGCCTTCGTCTCATCTTCTCAGCCCCCTTGCCATTTCTAGACGTTCTTCTTGGTGTCTCACCACGATCTTTCTTGCTGCAGCTCCAGCCAGGACTGAGTACTACCTTCTGGTCATTTGCAAGGGAGTTTAGCCTAAACTAAGCTCTGGCCTAGTCTCCCCACTCACCCAGGGACCCCGATCCCCATACTTAAGAGGTTGAGTTTGGGTCCTTGATTCTGGCACCAAACTGTATCCATCCCAACCCTCAGCCTCTAAATAAGCTTCCTCCGTGTCAGGTACCATCCCTGCTCCTCCCAGCCCAGCATACATGGTAAGCGCTCTGCAAATGTTGTCAGTTTAGGAGGTACTGAGAAAGCGTTTGTTGAGCGACCCCTCTCGTTTTTTGGGGGGTGGGGGTGATCTCTGAAGGAAGATTCCACAGCCTCCTTTCCTTTCTTAATTATTTCAGATCCTACCCTTCTTACCCTGCCGTAAAGTCCTTCTTGATGTCTGACCTCAGTCCCTCCAACCACCATCCAGCTCCCTCCCTCTTACTTGGGTCAGGAGACCCTCTCTGGGTTGGGGAACATTCCTACTGTTCCCCAGCCTACCTCTCCCTGTTCTTAGAAGGGGGTACTAGGCTGGGCCCAGGGTAGAAAATTCAGAACAGTAGCCCGAGGGCCACTTCAGACCCAGGGAGTATATGGGGGGCTCCCGAATTCAAAGAGACCCAGTCCTGACGCTACCGGTGCATGTGAGAACTTTCTTCTTGCCCTTAGTGGCTATCTGAGCGCTGTCCTCCCCTTCCCCGCCCAGGCCACTACCCCTCTTCCCCCAAATCCTCCCCCTGAGGGCTGTCTCATTAGGTTGGAGACTCTTTTTTTTTTTTTTCTTGCGTTATGCGGGCCTCTCACTGTCGTGGCCTCTCCCATTTGCGGAGCACAGGCTCCGGACGCGCAGGCTCAGCGGCCATGGCCCACGGGCCCAGCCGCTCCGCGGCACGTGGGATCCTCCCGAAACGGGGCACGAACCCGCGTCTCCTGCATCGGCAGGCGGACTCCCAAGCACTGCGCCACCAGGGAAGCCCTGGAGACTCTTAAAAGAGGGTCACTGCTTAGGCCCCACAACTGTCCTGTCCGGCACCTTCAACTTCTTGAAAGTACTTTCGGAACGTAAGCTTGTTTCACAGAAAACCCAGATATGCCCTCGGAGCCACAGAGCACTGGAATCTGCCCCAGGACAAACCCAGTCCCGGGTCCTCCTCCGGCCACCCTGTACCCCCTCCCCGCCCTGCTCCTCTCTTCCCCCCCACTCCCTCAGCAAGCCACCCTTCAGGCTTCAGCACTCTGCGGATCGGATCGTGCTCACCCTTCCTCCCTTAGATAAACTTCCTTCCAAAGCCCCGCTTAGTCCCCTCCCCAATTTGGAGCCACTCCCCCCCC